CCTGCGCAAGGACTCCAGGAGAGAGAGCTGCTTCGAGCTGACCTGCGGGGACAGGCGCAGCTACGAGGTGGGCCGGGGGCAGGTGTCGGCTACGCTTCCCTCGCTGGGAAAGGCTGGGTCCCGACCCCTCTCCACCGCCCAGCCCGGCCGTCTCCCCCTGGCTGTGTCACCCGCTCCCTTCTGCCGCCACCCGGCTGGCGCTGACCCCAGGCTCTCCTGGTTCCCGCCCGTGATCGCACTACTTTCCGGCCGGCGGAAAACCCAGAAGGAGACTAAATCCGCAGTGGCCGGGCCGTCTGCCCCGCACACGTCTCTCGTGCGAAGTCACCTTCCCCTGGGTGTGTGGGCCACGCGGTGACACTGGTCCCTGGGGGTGACAGCGTTTCTGGGGGACCGGGGGACTTTGTCCGAGCAAGAAAGGCTCATTACGCACTGCGTTCACTTCTGCATATTTTGAATCTTGACTTCCTGTGTTTGCAAGTCATTATAAAATTAATTAAAACAACAAAAATTATGGTTATGGGGAGATGATTTTCACACACACACACACACACACACACCAAGTTTCCTACTCAGTGGTCATTTTTATTTTATCTCAGCTTTATGAAAGCAATGTAGCAAAACCTTTACTAATTTATGAAAAAAAAACACGCTAAGATTAAATCAACTTAAGTAACCCTTTTGCTCTTTAAACTTTTTCTCAGCATTCAACTTTTCTTGGTTCTACAGTATCTTAATCCTTATTTCCATAAAACAATCTTCCTATCCATTCTGCAACTTGTATGATGTTTCCAGTTTTTGAAGTACAGATTGTGCCGAGTGTGTTTCTAATTTTACCATTAAATTCTGATGAGACTTCATCCAGATAAGTTTATGTGAAAAGCATAGACCAGTATTCCTAGAAATCTGTTGCAGAAATGTCTTGCAGGAGTGAGAATCATAATGTGTATTCATATAAGTATGTTGCAGAAATCTAGGCTTCTTAGAGAACAGGTGTCTCAAACTCACTCGAATAGCCAGATAATTAAAATGTTTTCAGGAACATTTGCTTCAAATTGATTCGTTTTTTTAAAAAAAAAAGCTATGGGTGCCGGGCGTGGTGGTGCACACCTGTAATCCCAGCACTTGGGAGGCTGAGGCAGGAGGATCGCTGTGAGTTCGAGACCAGCCTGGGCTGCATAGTGAGTTCCAGGGCAGTCTCAACTACATAGTGAGACCCTGTCTCAAAAAAACAAAAAAAAAAGGGGGGGGCTGGGGATTTAGCTCAGTGGCCCCGCACCTACCTCACAAGCACAAAGTCCCGAGTTCAATCCCCGGTACCTCAAAAAAAAAATGAGGGTTCAGTGCTTGCCCGGACCATTTTCTGAATTGGAAAGTAGTTTATTTACTTTCTTCTCTTCTTAGGCCCATGGAATTCTAGTCGTTGTTGTGGTCTGTGTGTGTCCTTGGGGTCTTTCCCTGCTGTTTATTCTCTTGGGCCCTCAGCTCTTCATCTGTAATTGTTTATTCTCCTACCTCCCCACACTCCAGGAAGGCTCTGCAGCAAGCAGTTCCCCTACCTGAAATGACCCGCCACCTCCCACCTGCCCTTTATAAAGATCCACCCCAAGTGGCTTCAGCCCTGGTAATAAGTGTTTCCTGTGTCCACCGACCCCCTGGCTGCTGCTGTAGCTCAGTGGTTTGGTGCTTGCTGAGCACCCATGAGGCCTTGGGTTCTACCCTCAACACTGGAAAGAAAAATATTCATATTATCAGTGCAAGGGCTCCCACCTCATATACAAGTTGCTTTGCTCTTTTTTTTTCCTATAAACTTTTCCCAAATAAATGCCTGATAAAGGAATAGATAATCAAATGAACACACATGAACATAAACATCTGGATTTTAAAAACTGTTATTGGTTTGGCATGGTGTTGCATGCCTTTAATCCAAGCATTGGGGGGAGGCTGAGGCAGGAGGATCGCAGCAAATTTGAGGCCAGCCTGGTTTACATAGTTCAAGGCTGGCTTAAACTACATAGCAAGACCCCATCTTTAAAAAAAAAAAAAAAAAGTCTGTTATCTCTGGGGATGCAGAATTGCTGAAGGAAAAAATAATTGCTTTGAGTCAGCTGTTTTAGCCTTTTTTTTTTTTTAATTATTAACAAGGCAGAGAATCTTAGCTTTAAATTTGACTCTGAAAGTCGTGGATTCCTTCCCTTGGAGCTCCCTATAAGGATTCATGGAAATCTTGGTGAAGATGATAAATTAATTTGCTAATTTTTCTCCAGTTTACAGCCACTAGTCCAGCGGAAGCCAGAGACTGGGTGGAGCAAATTAGTTTCCTGCTGAAGGGTAAGTGTGGTCGTCATAGAAATCCGTACCGCTGTGTTGGGGAGGTGCGATCTGTGGGCTTCCGTGGGTCTTCCTTTCTCCTGCCCTCTTCTCCCCTCTCCGGCCCCAGCCTGTCCCTCTATTGTAACAGCGGACAGTTCCGCGCGTCCCTCAGAAGGTGAAGACATCACGCTGCGGGACTTGACCTTGGACGCCACCCACTCAACCTCGTTCATCAGCGCCAGAAAAAGGAATCCGGGAGCTGGCACCACCCTGTTCCCTGTCTCCACCCCCTTCCTTTTATCCTGGAAGGAAAATCCATCATATCCGACTTCAAGCCGTGTCATTTGCAACTGTGGTCCACAATCTTCTATATTTAGTCTTTTTTTTCCCCCCCGGTTTTTTTGAGACAGGGTCTCCCTATGTAGTTGAGACTGACCTGGAACTCACTATGTGGCCCAGGCTGGTCTCGAACTCACCATGATCCTCCTGCCTCAGCCTCCCGAGTGCTGGGATGACAGGCGTGCGCCTCCACGCCCGGCTATTTTTAGTCTTAATAGAAAGTGGAAATCTAAAGGAATCTAGGTTTGCCATCAGGGACATCGGGCGTCAAAAACAAATCGCTGTTTCCCGAGGCATGGTCTCCCTTCTCCCTATGTAGTTGAGACTGACCTGGAACTCACTATGTGGCCCGGGCTGGTCTCGAACTCACCATGATCCTCCTGCCTCAGCCTCCCGAGTGCTGGGATGACAGGCGTGCGCCTCCACGCCCGGCTATTTTTAGTCTTAATAGAAAGTGGAAATCTAAAGGAATCTAGGTTTGCCATCAGGGACATCGGGCGTCAAAAACTCCCTATGTAGTTGAGACTGACCTGGAACTCACTATGTGGCCCGGGCTGGTCTCGAACTCACCATGATCCTCCTGCCTCAGCCTCCCGAGTGCTGGGATGACAGGCGTGCGCCTCCACGCCCGGCTATTTTTAGTCTTAATAGAAAGTGGAAATCTAAAGGAATCTAGGTTTGCCATCAGGGACATCGGGCGTCAAAAACAAATCGCTGTTTCCCGAGGCACAGTCCCGAGGCACAGTGAAATTTTCCCACTCCCTGCCTTGGGGTGGAAGGGCCCTGCCGGAAGCGGCCGAACGACTGCTCCCGGAGCGCCGAGCCTCACCTGGAGGGCAACCCTGGGCGGGGGCGCCCCCTTGTCCGCCGGCCACTTTGCACCTGGCCCCTCGCCCTAAAAGCCCCGAGCCTGCTCACCCTCGTCTGGAATCCGCTGTAAGATTTCCATGGTGGACGAGGAGGACGCGCCAAGCTCTGATGTCCGAGAACGGCCCGTTTTACACAGCTGGGCCTCTGCTGCGCAGAAAAACGAGGCGTCGGCCGTGCCCTCCACCGAGTCATGGTGACAAGGCGGGGCCCGCCTGGGACCCGAGACCCGGCCCTGTCCTGCCCGCCTCTCCTCCCCTCCTTACAGGGCTGCGCAACCCTGGTGAAGTTTTATTGCGAGGAAGGATTTATGTTTTTTCTGCAGATCTCCTGCCACCAGGGCCCGTGACAGAAACAGCAGTGCCTAACCCGGCCTTTCGCTTGCCTTTGACGCAGCGCGGCCTCCCCGCGCCTCCTCTCCCTGAGCCCTTCCCTACCGTCTCCCACCCCAATTCACCTTCGTCTTTGCCCCACAGATCTGAGCTCTTCAACGATCCCCTATGAAGAGGACGAGGACGAGGAAGAGCAGGACGAAGAGCAGGACGAAGAGGGGGAAGAGACCTACGATGACATTGACGGCTTTGAGTCCCCGAGTTCTGGTCCCCAGGTCAGACCGACTGCCTTGCCTGGGAGCATGGGGGCCGAGGCACCTACCAAGGAGAAGGAAGAGGGCATCTACGAAGTCCTCTCAGGTGAGACCTTTCACCCTCTCTCTCTCCCCCGACTGTCAGAAATTCTGGACCCAAGCTCGGGTGGTGGCGCACGCCTGTCATCCCCGCACTTGGGGAGGCTGAGGCAGGAGGATCACTGTGAATCCAAGGTCAACCTGGGCTACATAACAAGACCCTGTCTCAAACGAAAACAGAAAGAGAAACTCTGGACCCGGTGGAAGGACTATAACTTGGAGGAGTCCAAAGGAAGCCAGATCTAAACATCACCCTCTGAAGGAGAGGACACAGGGAAACACGATCCCGGGACAGACCACCTCGTTCTGAGAGCGAGGTGACTGATCAGTCTGCCCCGTGCCACTGCAGGGGTTCGTGGCATTGCGTCCAGAGGTGCAAGGGTCCAGGAGACTCGTGCTGGCTTTCCATGGTTTACAGTGAGTTTGAGGGTGAGTCGCCTCAACTCTGTTCAGCAGAATAATGAGGACAGAAAGCTGCCTCGCAATTATGACGGATGCCAGAGCAGGGCCGCGGGACCACTCACCTGCGATCCCAGCACGCAGGAGGCCGAGGCAGGAAAAGTCCTGGGTTCAGGGCCGGCCTCAGTCACATAGGAGAACTTTGTTTCCAAATTAAAAGAAAAAAAAAAAAAAACAGTAGGGAGCAGGTCCGTGCTACAGGGCTCTTTTCTCCCACAGCAGGATGTCGCAGAAAAGTCATCACTGTGTGGGCCAGCACAGCGGGGGACAGGTGGGAACCTGCACGGAGCCTTTAACTGCAAGGGCCTTAGACCCAGGAGTGCTGATCTTTGAGCCCATTCTTAAAGATGCCATGGAAATGTCTCAGGAGTTAGTGCCCTGCTAAGAAATACAAGTTAAGCCGAAATTTATTGCAGCTTAAACCTCCATCCCAGATGAACCTACGAACCCAGGTGAATCTAACACTCAGGGCCCGAAGACGGGCATCATCTGTAAGGAACTTGGATTTCAAGGCTTTCTAAGAACAGTCAGACCCTCCGGCCTGGATTCTACATTCAGCTCTCCTCCAGAGCGAAGCCGCAATACTGGGACCCACGTCAGGAAGCACACCTGTACTCCTAGCCCTCGGGAGGCTGAGGCAGGAGGATTGTGGAGAGTTCAAGGCCAGCCTGGGCTATGTAGCAAGACCCTGCCTAAAAAAGGAAAAAGGAAAAAGGAGCAGGACCACGACCACACACCCCAAGCAGAGAGAGATGCTTCTCCCAGCCCAGCAGCCTCTACCAATCCCCACTTCCCCAGCCTTTTTTTGTTGTTGTGTTTTATTATGCAAATGATATCTTGGTGAGGTTGAGCCATTTCTTGTGTCTCAAGTTGAAAAAAAAATGATAATTTCCTCAGCAAGTCATCGTCGTTAATGAAGTTTTACAAAAACAGATACAACCAAAGGAAAATAAAATTTCACAGGTGATAAATTTTTCCAATTTCCCTGGCAGAATTCGATAGGATTGTTAAATTAAGAGTGAAGGTGTCTGTTAGAAAGCAACGAGCGGTGATGGGTAATTTTATAGAGTGGAAAATTGAATCAAATTGCAACATTAAAACACAGCTCCTCTGAGAATCTTGCCTCTCACAGTCTGCTCTGCTGCAACAGCAGGGTGTAGCAGTGGACCTAATTCACGGCACTCCCGAACAGGAGATGCGCTCTGAGCTCCATCCCAGTCTCCCCAGTGAGCTTCTGTTCTGCCCACTCCCGCCCGGGCACAGGGGACATCCAGGTGCCTCTCCAGCTGGGGTCACAGCTGTGGAAGAGCACACTAGGGAAACCCCACTGAGCCGCTCAGCCTTCTGGGGTGCAAAGAGAAGATCTTTTATGCCTGGCATGGTGGTGCATTACATTGCCGGTAATTACAGCACTTGGGAGGCTGAGGCAGGAGGATTGCTGAGAGTCTGAGGCCAGCCTGGGATACACAGCGAAACTCTGTCTCAGAACAAAACCCATTACCCCAGGTGGGGCAAGACATATATAACTGGGTTCTTGATGGCCCTGTTTCTCCTCCCACCACCTACACCCCTCGGTCATTCTACACCATCCGGGGAACCCAGGAATTCCTCCAAGTTTCCAGTGCAGTGGTGACCCAAGAGCCTAGAGATGAAGCCACTCACCTCAAGCCTGCGTGGCTGCCAGCCACCGGAAGTGAGGCTGGCCACACTGTAGGACAACCGAGGCCTCTTTGTGCATTTTAGAGAAATCGCAACTGACGCGCTTACGTGGCCAAAGGACAGCACTGTACCTAGCAGCAGATTCTTTCCCAGAAGCCTCTCTGCATGACAGATCTTAAGAGACAAGGCAAAGGTGGACTAGACAGGCATTGAATTAGGACGCGACTCGTTCAGCCTCCATCACTCGTCTCACAAGACCACCAACTAGCTGGCGCACACCTGTGAGCCCAGCACTCCAGGAGGCTGAGGCGGGAGGATCTCAAGTTGGAGCCCAGCCTGAGCAACTTAGTGAATTAGTAAGACCCTGTCTCAGAGCAAACAGAGGAGGCTGGGGATGTAGCTCGGTGTGAAGGCTCGGAGCCCAAGGCCCAGTACCGCAAAGAGAAAAGAAAAAGCGAACAAACAAAAAGACGGAAAGTAAGCAGTAGGAGACGCAAAGCCTTGTTGCTGGTAGCGAGCCGGCTGGAGTCAGGATGGGTCCGCGCGCCCCGCGGCTAGCTGAGGGGCCCTGGGCGCGTTCCTTGCCCTCCCATTCTCGCAAAAGTCTCGCAAAGTGGGGGAAACGACG